TTGTTTTGAATCATTCTGCATGGAAAATCATTCAAATCACACTATTACACTGAATCGAGCAATAAGTCTGCTGCTGTGTTTCAAGTCGTAACTTATCAGTTTAACTGAAGCATTACACCCACCGATCTGATAACTCCAGCCTCCTACTCAGAGAGGATGATGTTTTAAATCGTCAGTAAACAGCAGTTTGTATTTATCATAGGACAAGAAAGAGATATTCGTAATCTATACCACTAATCAGGTTCAAAGGTCTAGCTCAATCAAAGTGACAATTTAAATATAGGTTAAGTTTGGTAAGTTGTGTCATCTGTTGGCTTCTTATACCCATTAGGAATTTTTTTACACCTCCTGCCACAATTAGGCTGTTTCCACTCATAATTCCCATGATAAAAAATACAACCTAAAATCAATGAGGGAGGGTAGGACCTCTGCTGATTGCTCTGGCCATGTGTGTGGACCTGCAAACACCGATACAGAACTCTCGCTGGAATCTCCAAGAGATTTAAGATTGCTGGCCCATTTACACCACTGCATTGTGGTAACATAAGTGGTACCACAATGAAAGCCAATGCATGTTCGTACATTGCTGCGCTACAGTGTAATGAACAGCAGCACAGTACAACCCACATTGTCCTGAGCATTGCACTGCTATAAAGTGAGGCCTGTCCCATTTTCATATGCACTGTAATAATTTTGAGTAAACTCTTTAATGTAAAGCAACACACGTCAATGACTGACAATGTGTGCATTGCAAGACACAGCTCTGTGGTGTGGATAGGCTATAAGGCTAGGTTGACATATGCCCCTTGTATGCATATTTATGTGTGCTTTAGACGCATTTCCATTGAACTTTATGTAATGCCAATTTTGATTAAAACTTCATATGTGAATGGGTACTTAAAAGGTTTAAAGTGGACCTGTCCGAAGTTGCAAGATCTGTAAAGGTTAAAGTCTCTTCTAAGAGCAGACTTCATAGGATAGCTGCTGTTACTAAAGCTATCCAGAAAAAGCACTACTTTGCACCCTCTACTGTGATACTAGGGGCCTGACTTCAGGGCTAAACACTGCCAAAAGGGGCATTTTTTACTGGATGGCAAAATTAAAGTTGGAAGCTTAAAATGGCTGGTGGGTTTGCTTGAAAGTGTACCTGTCATGACTTTAATACTAGTAAACTGCCACTTGTACTTGACATCACATAATTGCACCTATAATTAATTTTCTTCCCAAATACCCCCAAACCCCCTGATTCCTAGGATGGGATAATATGTAAATATGGACTAGAGCCCATACATTTTTTATCCATAAAGCCCTGATCCTCCTCTGCATTACTGCCACATCCTGCCATTGGAGAATGCTTAGCTAAAGAACAAGTAAAGCCAAACTTTTTTTTTTTTTAAACTGCATACTTATTTTTTTATTTTTTTTATTTTACCATCACAGGTATCACTTTTAAACTTTGAGAAATTGAATGCAGATTTGGGAAGTGATGAGCAGGGTTTGTGGCAGTTGTTATAAACAGGCCCCTAAGTCCAGCATTGATTGTCCTCTGTGGCTGATCTTGTTACTGGTGAGATTCTGGAGGAAGGAGGCGAAAGGCTAGAACTCAGCCCTCTGAGCTCTGGTCGGCATTGGATGATACAGCAATCCAGATTTTTGGCCTTTTAGGGTACCAGGAAAAAAACTGGAGCTGTTCTGGCTTCTGATGGTTACTAGGATTAGAGCCAGGCTTGCTTTAAAAGTGACAGCTGTGTCCTTCTATGGAATGTCAGCACAGAATCTCAGCTCCATGTTGGAAATTCTAAAGAAAAACTCAACTAACAACTATGTAGATCTAAAATAAGATCTAAAAGAGAAGACATAAGTGCAATGACAATGGAGGAAAAGAAAACAACGTGTGTTAAAAAGTGGTCTCCCCATTCATGTCAAACACATGTGGACGAAATGAAATAAATGAGATCTGTGCCTGGCCACTCCTCTTTCTCAACCTGTTATACCTGAGGAGGTCTAAACTGTGGAAAACCTTAAAACCTTAACTCGAATAATTCTGATGTTCACTTTTATGTATTTCTTTATGAAAGATGTGCCGTCGTAAGGGGTGATATAATGGTGTCGGACTCTGAGCTCTATAATAGATGCTCCAATATTGCAACAATAGAAGGTAAAAGAGTAAAATGGTTTGCATTATGGGATATCTGTAAATTCTCATTTTAAAGGATGTCTGTGGCCCCACCCACATAGCTTCGGCATTAATTTACAGACCCTTTGACAGGATCTGTGAATGGAGAAACTATAAGTCCTATCAGCCACCGCCACCACAGCAGAGGAACTTGTAGTTTCCATGGAATGCAAGTGATGTCACCGCACTTGCAGTCCATTGACACTTCCTCCTGTCCATGTCACTGAATGTCTTTACCTAGGGATGGGTGGACGTGTCAGAAGCCAGAAAAGTGCACCCCAATTCACTGATTGCAGTTGCAATGCTTTACTGGCTCCTATGCAAAAAAAAAGCATATTTTTTTCTTTTATGGAGAAGTTTGTATTTATTACTTTTTTGTATCAAAAGGGGGAATTTCCCTTTTACGGCGTTATCCTGCTCATTATTCAAAAATGCATCTTTAAATAAACACTACTGAGACTTTTATATAAGTAAACCATGAAGAAGATGATTAAAACCTCTTTTTCGAATAACAGCTTGTGATCTATGCGCAGTTGGGCCTTTATTTCCAATATACCGTATATTCCCACTTTTAGGAGTGTTCAGCACCATGGACAGCGCACATACAGGATAATATTGGGAACGAACTGAGAAGTAAGCATGTGCCACAGGAAAGACCATTTAAAAGCTGAAGTTAGAGAGAATTCTAATAACACAAATATGGTTAGTGGTATCAGCAACTTTTTTTTTTCAAAACCTGCAAATCTCTGCACTGCTCACCCCGATTTTCGACAGACAAAAGGGGAGAGCTGGAGGGAACAATAAAAGCCAGTGGGCCTGCAGTACCTGGATGGGGCCATACATTGCAGTCTGCTCCCTTTTAGGGCAGAGTGATGTAGTACAAGGCAAGGTTGATATTTTGCTGCATGCTGGTGTGTTCTGAACCACAAGGCTCATGGGCTAACTCCAGGCAAAATGTATGTTTTCAAGTTCTGCATAGTGTGGGACAGGGACAGAACTTCGGTCAAGTTTTTATGCTGTGTTTGTTGAGGTTTTCTTTCTTGCTTCCTGTCTTGTTAACACTCTGTTATAGAGGGTGTCACCCAGCCAATGGGGGCATAGACAGCACTCAACGCCAGACAGAGGCTCTAGTCATTCTTTAGTCCACAAAAATTGGACTCTGCTTTCTGTCCCCGTGATGTGGGAGGATTACAGAATGTGAACGGAAATCTCCCCAGTGGAGACACAGCAAAACCTGAAGCAGGTCACGTGTTTCAGCTTCACTGGTTCTATTCTTGTTTAGGGTCAGTGACCCTAGTAAGTAGGAAAGCTAAACGATGAGGATAACAGTTTGATTATTTTCAGGTTTTTAAAGAACTACACAGAAATGTTTTCTTAACCCTTGCAGTGGTGCTACCCTCACATTGCAAGGGTTATGTGCTCGTTTTTGTAAAAATGTTATACTCACCTGATTCTTAGAGCTAACTGGCTGCTAGACTAGTCCCTGGAGCCTCTCTCTCCCTCCACTGCAGCGGTCTAAGGTCCCTGAGTCATTCTATACTCTGGGGGGAATTTATCAAAACTGGAGCAGACAAAATCTGGAGCAGTTGTGCATGGCAACCAATCAGATTCTTTCTTCAGTTAGGTTTTGAAAATGAAAGACAGAAACTGATTGGTTGCCATGCACAACTGCTCCAGATTTTGTCTGCCTCAGTTTTAATCATTTCCCCTCACTGTGTACAGGACGTGAGGACGCCGAGGGACATCATCACTGCAGATGAGGAGGAGACAGGCTGGAGGGAGCGCTGTCACAACCAGGTCGATCCAAGGTCTGGGTGAGTATAACTTTGTTATTTTAGCACCTAAACAAAAAAAAGAGCACTTAACCCTAGCAGTGCAGGTTTAGCCCCACTGCAAGGGTTAAGAATGTTTTTCCTCAGAGTTCTGCTTTAACCAATCAATGATAACATTTTCCATAATTTCATCATATTATTCTCTTTGAACTAACTGGGTTTAAAGGAGGGATTCTGCCTTATACAATCTTGGTTTGAAACTAAATAAATACACCCATGCTGTCAGTCCACAATATACATGCTGCAAGGTACCTAAAGCTATAGACAGAACTATGATCAGCTGGGATGTGTCCTTCGTGCCACCTGACTTGTGTATGAACACAAAATAAGTTACAGTAATCCCTTAAAAACAATATCAGTTGGAAACGGGGGTGATGTTTGGGAAAGTGGCTGGTTATAGCTGAACTCCAGGCTGTGCCGCAGTACTCATTTGCTAACAAAAGACGAGCTCATCAATCTGCTGCTTCTCATTTCAATGCCCCATCACAGGCTGGAGGGAGGTACAAGACTTGTAAGTGTTACTGAACTGCAGCAGATAAAAAGCCGGTCTCCTTCCCTGCTAGACAGGGCTTTGCTGTGAGCTGTATAAATCTCAGGCCAAGGTGGATAGAAAAAACATATCCTTTGGTAAGTAAAACTGCTTCCCCTCTTGTGACTATGCAAAGGGCTCCATCAGTCCAGCCAGGAAAAATGGCATCTGTTGACACTTTCTGTGCTCTGCTGTCTCCTACACCTGTTAGTTTTAGGTAGGTTTATTCTTCCCAATGTGACTTTAAGTAGCATAACTTTCACTTTATCATATCTGAACTTTATTTTAAATACAAATCAATACACCCAGTTATACTTATCATACAGATTTAAAGACATGGTCCAAGGCAACAACCTAATTTTTTCCATCCTCAGTTGCACAAAACTGGAACGCAATCTTACTTCAGGACTGCCTGTTAAACAATAAAGTATGTATGTTTTTTTTTTCTTTTCTATACATTCAGGTGTTTTGAAATCGGAATTCTTGTCAAGGGCGCAGTAATGGACTACACAGCCCTGTCCAGCCAAGAACATCTACCTCAGTTCTCTGACTCAGCGATGAACCACAGCAATGAGGAACCCAACTTCTTCTACGAACTGGGGGGCAGTGAGGGTAGCCCATCACATTATGGAGGAGTAGTAACTTCCCGAGCAGGGGCAGCATTCCGTCACTCTCCAGGTAGGTACTTTGGGGCAAGTTATTGGTGTACCTCTTGGATCTTTACTTCTAAAGCTTTCAGAAAACAAATTTTTTTGGAGTGGTGGTGGGGGATTATGTGTAGAGCCTTGCCACAGTACTCTGCAAAGGCGTGCTAAAGATCTTTACATTTGCTGCAAGCTTACACTGACTTGCCAACATATGCCAAACCCTGCAGGCATGATGGCAACCAATGTGACGCAATGCAAATCGATGTAAACAGGCTGTGAATAATGTGTGCTAGAGTGTCGCCTATTATTGAAAAGAACAGGCATTGGCATTGCAAAGCCTTATGAAGCTTTAATAATGTGGATCCAACACCTGCTCTTTAGGCCACATTTTGCTGTGTATAGCCCAAACTGTTTTTTATTCAGTTGGATGAAGTAGGGAAGGGTTAAAACCCCTATTAGGTTTTTTGGGTTTTTTTTTGCTGTCTTTGTCCCTGGGAAGAGTTCACACCACCTCCTCCCTTGGAGACACAACAGAACATTGTAGGAAATCTGACCAATGTGAAGAGGACTCCCATCTTAGACAGATGTCACCAGAATATTTGTCCACATAGGATACCCTTAATTTTTGCTCTAATACCAACTTTTTTTCTTTATTTTTTTTTGTCTCATTGACAATGATCAGGACAAAAAGAGGGTGAATCTCCCTAATAAGGACACAGCAGTAAAAACTTGACAGCGAATCTAACCCATCCAATGTCATCCTAAACTAAAAAAAAAAAAAGTTTTGTTTTTTATACATATATTTTAAGAAAAAGCCAGTTTAGGTAAAAGGGTGGCTTTCACATAATGTCTGTTTACCTTTCAGTGCTCCAGACATTCCCATCTCATTGGCCGGAAAGCAGCTCAGGAATTGCTCACAGCTTGGCTGCCTATGGAAGAAGCCCCAGTGCATTCCCGCTGTATACAACAGGGGCTTCCCACTTTGCTCCGCTTCCCTCCTCAACATTTTACTCTACAGCGCCCTTCCTACTGAGCCCTGTTCCTCCAGCTGAACGTGATGGGAGCCCCAAATTCCTGGAGACCCTAAAGACTGAGAGGATGAGCCCCTTAAGCAATGACTTTCTGACCCTGGAGCCAAGGAGTCCTGGAAGTCAGGGTTTACCTCCGATGGGTTACATAGGAACAATGCAAAATTTCAGCAATAGCATATTCCAAGCATCAGGTAACCAAACCACCCATAAACACATCTACACCAAGAAACAAGGATTAGAGATCCCTTGGAGAGAGAGGATTACAAAGGATGGGGGGGCAATGGCAGTGTTGGATTAAGGCCAAATAGTCCTAAATGCTGATGTAATAAACAAGATATTTTACATGCTGCAGTTTTAGTAATAAACCATATACCTTGACCTTGGGAATCTAAAAATCATTGCACAACTTTAGTATGTGACATCTAAGCAAGAAAGCTCTAACTTGTCGTAAATGTGCATTATTTTGCAACTTGTGCAACAATGGTAGGTGCTTCTTCTTGTATTATTGTCCTAAATAGATTCAGGTTTCATCAAGGCAGCAACATACGAGAAGAGCCTGTTATGTCATGCAGAGACATTCCAATGCGTTTATATCCAAAGCCATCTTCCTTTCCATTACTTTTTTTTCCACAAAGTAGGTCGACCATCATAAATCAGTGCTAAGTTCTCTCCTCTTTCTGTAGCAGTGGTACCTTCTGCATTAGAACTGATATGTGTGAGAGAAAAGGGTTGAGGGAGAACTGCCAAATGTCTGGCTCTTCTTTAACATCATTACCCTAAGTCCCTTCGGCAGTGGGTTTTTCCCAGAATTAGAAGGTGCAGAAGATAAGTATATGTAGCAATGAGTTCATCTAGTTCTAAAGGAGGATTAGTGTAAAGGTTAAGGTTGGAGGAGTTAGGGTGAATGGAGCCTTTGTGAGAGATCTCCTCTTCTGAGCAGAAAGAGGGGTGCAATCAGTTGGACATGAGTTTAAAGCATAGGTACACTTTAATGGTGCGGTTAGATAAGTAGGGAGTTAGTTATATTAAGCCTAAACCTGATGCATGCCTCTTGCCTGCAGAGGATCGTGAGTGTGTGAATTGTGGAGCTACAGTGACCCCACTATGGAGACGGGATATTAGTGGCCATTATCTGTGCAATGCCTGTGGGCTGTATCATAAGATGAATGGACAGAACCGCCCGCTGATTCGACCCAAGAAACGACTGGTATGTATTACGGATAGTAGGTGCTGACATATTAGTTTCACTCACATTAAAGTCATATTAAAGTCAATAGGTTTTTAAGCTATTTCAAATTCTAGTAAAATCCCTTACAATGAATGCTGCTCCTTGATGTTTAAAGTTTTAGTTTCCTGCAGAATCAACTGCTCTCCTGAGCACCTGCCCTGACATCCTGTTTTAGGGTGGCTTTTTTCCTTTTGCATGGTCCTATGGAGCCACCCATGTGTGTGCTATTAAGCGCTGTGTGTTTTCACAAGCACACAGCACAGCAAGGCAAGACACTCTCCTTCTCCCTGTTCCCCCTTCTCTGGGCTACTAGATGGACAGCTACTGGGACTGTGCTTTCCCTTGTAATCTTGTACTCGACAGGAAGTTCAGGGAAGCTGAGCTAAGAGAGTTGGAGCAGCTGTTCAGAAACATGATGACCGTAAGTGTTTGGGTAAACTTTTTAAGAAATACTTTGCTTAGCAATGTATATTTGTTTCTTCAGTATTCATTATTGAAAAAAAGTTTGAGGGATTAATACTATTTTAACTGCTTACAGGCTTAGAGTACAACTAAAGGCTCCTGTATGACAGTATAAACAAGTACTATGTGATGCGCATGCCTCATAAAGTAAACCAAAAACATATGTTACCTCCCCTGAGCCAAATCCGCCTTCATTTGTGTCTCACACGCTCCCCGCCCCAAACACTGCAGCTCCCAGGGGAAGGGTTTCAGCATCAGAGGCAGTGCTGTCTATTCAGAAAGCAGTGGACTGGGCATGGCCAGCTACAAGCCGCATGCTTTTGAATTAGCAGTGACAATCCTGATAGCCATGCTCCTTTCAACTTTTTTCAATCCCACTGTAGTGCAAACAGACACAGCCTACATGAGAGTGGCAACTGTGCTCTGAATTCAGGAACAGTGCAGCATCATTTCCACACCATCACAGGAAACATTAGAACACTTCAGTGGTAGGTTCAACAGGTATTTGGGGGACTTTTCAGAATAAATCTTTTAGTGCAGATGCACTTATAAAGAAATGCCGCAGCACACATTTTTATTTTAAGTGGAGTCCATAGTTCTAAATACCACCCAAAGTCAGTGTTCAGTCCTTACTACTGTACAGGACGTTGTCAGGATTGGAAGATCTCCTTCCATCCCCAGCATGCCTGTGCTTTCTAAGCGCTGGCCTGCGTTTTCTGTATGATCCTGTACAGAATTGCCTAGAGGGCACTGGACACGGGCATACTGCAACATTTACACTCTAGTTGCTTCTGGGATGTATTTGTGTTTTTTCTTCAAATCTCAACTTTTTCTTTTTAGCCCCCCTATTGTTCAACCTAATGATGAGCAGCCTCAGCAACCAATAGGGAATCTTGAGATATGGCAAGGACGGGTCTAAGCTCAACTTTCACACATTCACTGAACATCTGGAGAAGATAATTACATAAAATATAGATTAAGACCTATTTGTGTCTTTCAGATTGTCAGCAAGAGAGCTGGAACCCAATGCAGCAACTGCCACACCAGTACCACCACCCTGTGGAGGCGGAATGCCAATGGAGACCCAGTGTGCAATGCCTGTGGGCTGTACTACAAACTGCACAATGTAAGAATCTGAAGATCAACTGATAAACAATATTTTATCTTCTAGGAGACACACCTGGAGCCAACTCAGGACACTCTGGATGCTCTGGCCGAAAAGGGGGCGGCAGGCACACTGTACAAATTGTGCAGCAGAGTGTCCATGCCGCCCCCCACATGACCCAAAGAGATGCCTCGGACTGCCTCATTATAGAGACGGCCCTGACTTTATGCACTAATTTTTTCTCCCTATGTTTTAAAGTGCATCTCTGTGTGTTTTTGTTAGGACATTTCAAAGGGAAGAGATCTTCATTAGGTTTAGGGTATCTTTTCCAGGTCACTATCCTTTTAGATTATAAACTCTCATGAGCAGGGCCCTTCTAACCCTCTTGTATGGAACTGTAACTGTACTGTCTCCCCAAATTTTGTAAAGCGTTGTGCAAACTGTTGGTGCTATATAAATCCTGTATAGTAATAATATCCTAAAAAAGACTCAATAATATCCATGCTGTAAAATAATATGCTGAAAACTCCTTGCATGGTGAGGTCAACCTTCCTTTGCTTCAAAAACTCTAGGTGCTGCTGCTATCCAGCAGTTCCAGGTGCATCAGATAGCATGTCCCCTGCTGTGAGATGTGGTTCCTCTTGCTGACCCATTCATCAGTACTGGACAGAATAAAGACATAGGGGTTGGTGGGATAATCTACAGCACCTAGTAGGGGACAGGCTATACAAATTATTATTAAATGTTCAACAGCAGCAGATCATGAAATGAGCAAAGATTTCCCTCACCCTCTTATTGAGGTTTTTTTTTTCCCTCCCCCCCATGTAAATGTTAGCACTTACCTTAAATGATGTCTCTTTTTCCGATCTTCCTCTTCTTTCCCCATGTTTTCATGTGTCCCTCCAGCGGTGTGACGTCACTCCGATCCAGCGCTGACTGCTCTGTCTCTCCGATCCAGCGGTGTCTGCAGGCGGGTGCACGCGTCCATAGACTTACCTTGCGTCTCTGCTCGTCTCCCGGCCGAGAATCGGAACTGCGCATGCGCCCGCCCCAAGATCCTTTGCGGCCGTACGAGCAGTTCCTGATTCTCGGCGCGGGAACGAGCGGCGATAACGAGGTAAGTTTTAAATGATTTTAAGCAGGTTTTTTTTTTTTTTTTTTTACACTTCTTGCCTATATCTACTACATGCTAGCAGTAGATATAGGCAAAAACAACCGGAGGGTTTGGAACCCCTTTAAGTGAAAATTATATGTGATCAGCCGTTTTTAGGCTAAACAAGGCTCATTCACTGTCAATGAAGGACATTCACTACAAATGTCCTTCACTGGATACTGAAAGCGAATTCTGTTTTATGCAGCAAATTACCTCCCCCTGCACCTTAACTTTTATTATTCTCAGTTCTGAAAAACATAATACAACTTTAAAGTGTATCCAAAGCCAACGCGTTTCATTTTAGTTTTGGCTAGAGAAGGGAATGGTTCAAACTGGTCAGGTTTGTTTTTGTTGTCTGCTTTCTGTTGAGGAGCTTTCCCTTGTCTCCCTTTTCTTGAGAGATAACAGGAAGCAAGAAGAAATCTCTCCAAAGTAGGCAAAAATCCTCACTTAAATAGTTGCTTGTAGAACAGGTGTCCCAACTGGAAGATTTCCCCTCACTTCATGTTCTGGTGACAACTGTTACATTTTGGATTTTCCCTAACAATGGTCACCATGACAAATAGCAAGAGCAAATCTGCCCATCAATTTGCAATATGTAATGCATCTTCAGATGTATCATCAATCAGATCCGATATTCCAAGACAGGTCTGCAGCTCACGCTAACTGCGAGGAACCTATTTGCTTGAACACTTTACTTTGCTGCAGGAAAGTTGAGACTCCTCTTTGGCCTAGACAGAGGAGTAGGACACCAGCAGCAAGGACAGTACTAGAAATTCCAGTGGGGAATTCTAAAATTGTAGTTTTTGATGGAGTGACTCTTTAAAGATAATAAAATATTGGCCTTTTTGCCGATTAACTGCAAAAGGAATGTTATTTGATGTTTCTAAATGATGCAGCAACTTGACTTGAACATCTTGTTGCAGGTGAATCGCCCCCTGGCAATGAAGAAGGATGGAATCCAGACTAGAAACCGCAAAGTGGGCAGCAAGTCCAAAAAGAAGAAACAACAGGTGCAAGATGGTCTTTATGAGAATCACAAGATGATGCCAGAGGAGCCGAATATGTTCCCATTTACACCTATTCTGGTACCTGGTCAGATACCTCCTTTGGGACACCTGATGCCTGGCACCTCTCCGCATCACCTGATTACTCCTCCCAGAATCCCTCACTCACCTCCTCCCATCTCCTACAGGCCGCACCTGCTTTCTGGGGTCACTTCGGCTCTGAGCTAAAAAGAGTAACACAGACTGCGATCTACTCTCTTTCCAAAAACCTTCTCTTGGCTACATCCCAGACAGAGTAGCATCAGAGTGACACTAGACATATTCAGAGCCATGATTGTGCCCCTGGTAATTCCAATCCTCCGCAACTCAGCCATGCCAAACTCGTGTCACTGGGAGGCTTTTGGAGCTGTTACAGACAGAAAGCTGTGCTGGGGCTGGACCTTTTCTACCAAAACATTAATCCAGAACCAACACCAGGTATCCAGATAGCCTAGTCCTTGCAATTTTTTCAAGTTTTTTTTCTTTTCTTTTATGAGGGTTGTGATGAGGACACAATATTAAACATCTTTGCTTTCTTATGTGTACATTTTTTTCTGAAAAATATTTTATAAAAAGTTTCCTGTGACAATCGTGTCTGTGTAATGGTTTTCTTTTAGCAGTATGTAACTCGAGTGACAAAGTACACACATTTAAAGATCAAAGATCATGGCATTACAGATTTTGGTACAAGAAATTGATGTTATGCTGCTGTGGTTAACATTGTTATAGTATTATGTTTGTTGTGATAGTACATTACAGTTAGGAAATAGACCCAATTCACACTTGCCAATGGGACTGATCCCAGGTCTCACAAGTGTAAATGGAGCCCTAGGTTAACATTAGGAAGTTAGGTTAAGGTTAATGTTAACTTTAGCGGTATGCTTAGGGTACAGCCCACCTCCAAATTCTGTTCTCCCTAGTCCCACCCAAGCCTCCTTATTTCCTATTATGTAGCAAGGTTCAAAAGAAAAATCTAAAGCAGTTTTTATAAACTTGCCTGTGTCATGTCCTACTCCCTATCTGCCGCTTCGTCTGGGAGAAGAGACCGGTGATCCAGCTCTGTAGTTTGCACCCATGCCTACTGATCCCCTCATTGACATTACCGTGACATTATCACACCACTGCAGTCTACAGAATTAGAGAGGACACCTGAAGAAGGACCCTTTTTTACTGCTGCAGTGGTTAGTTAGAGAGGCATGGAGGTATTGTTTGGAATAGGGGGTATCCCAGGCTGGAGAACATCTCCTAAAGTTAGACACCCTAGAGTTAAACCTAGGACTTAGGCTGAGGTTATATGTTAGGTTTGTAAGATAGTTTCAGGCTTAAGGTTAGAGGTCAGGCTCATGGTAAGAGTAATGATTAGGAATTAGCCTGTACTCCCATTTAAACGTTTAGAATTGACTCACACCATGATGCACTGTGCCGCAACAGACATAGTTTCAAGGTGAATAGGCTGTAACATACCTCAACACAGAAATGTAGTGCATACTGCATTTTATTGCAGTACAACAAAAATTGTGCATTTTGGTACATTGGTGCATTGTAGAGGTGTGTTGGGGTGCCTTTCAAAATGAATGTACACCATGGTGCCATGCGGAGCTGTTGGTTCTTGCCTTCTTGTCCCAGGGGGACAAGAAGGCAATACGCTGATGTTAACAGGTCTTAAAAATAAAAGTCCTTTTTAAGTGCAGAAACCTCTACTGTACATTCTTGCTATTACCTTTAATAAAGAAAATACCTTCTCTGTGTCCCTCTCTTAACTGTGTTACTGGCTCCTGATTTTCTTTGACTCTAACCCTTACCAATTGCTCTTCCATCATCTCAGTAGCCAGTAAAGGCACTCTCATTAGACAAGACAACTGAAGTTGGCAGTGCTTAGCCATCAAGTCAAAGAAAGTAAAGACCCAGTAACAAAGCAAAACTAGTCAAATCGACCCTGTCACTATAGGGCCTAAACTAAAACCAGCCTGCAAAACAAGATGCTGTAAACTTATATTCTATCGGCCCATGTCTTAAAACTCCCCTGCCTGGTAGATCTCCAGCCATTGAAGGTATCAAACACTTCCGGGTGTGACTAATACTTTCTTCCCCTCGGTGCATTGTAGTTTCTCCTGCCAGCTCATATGTCTTCTAGTAAATGTAATAGCTAGCTGGAAGAACCACAGGGTGTGTGTTTCAGGAGTTGGACACCCAGAAGTGTTGGATAACTGCAGTGGCAGACTGGCAGTGGCTATAATGAAAATTTAAGACATGGACTGCTGGAAACCCAGGTATACAGCATTGTATGTTTTACAGGATGCCCTTAGTTTGGTTTGGACCCCCAGTGCGTCAGGGTCAGTTTAAAAGAGGCAGCCAGAGAAGGGTTTTCTCGCTAATAAAGGTAGAAGCATACACATTTTAAAAGGAATGCATGTTCATTTTAAATTGAAGGTGATGCTGGCAATATAAATGGCCATTTTCAGGCAATAGTGGCCAAATGGTTCCAGGCAACCTAACAAACTATCAACAGCTCAGATTGCTTTATGTTTTATATAAACATTTTCAGCAGTCAGCTGCATTGATCCATTTTGTCATCTTCATGACTGAAGGCCAGTTGGCCATCATAAAGGTTGTGTTGAAAGGTTAATTTGACTTTTATGGGTAGAGTTCAGAATAATGGAACCTGGAATGCAGTACATACACAGGTTACATCACTGTAACCTGTGTCAATTTTAAACATCCAGGTGCATGAAGTAGTTCTGTTTTTTTTCCATACTGCAATGCACATGAATTAAGTCAGACTCAGTTTCTTTTTAACTTACAGTTTTTTAATCAGGCCTTAGTATTTTCTATATTATTCTGCTTTTCCTTTAGCTTGGCGTTCTCAAAGTGCCCAGTCACAACTGTATTTTTTTAATTTGTTGGGGTGTGTGTTTGATGCACTTTTTGGGTGTTTAGTACTTGTGGTACCCTTAATCCCTATGGATGATATATTTGCTGGAAGCCTCAACAAAGCTGCAGCAAGTAGAATTTCTTTCAAATAAACCGGACTGAAAATCATAGTGAACCGTGCAAAAAGGTGGCAGGTTTTTTATGGATCCGGATTACGGAGTCATGGCCATCTTGAGGCTTGTCCTGGGGAGCTGTGATTAGACAGGAGGCAACACCTTATCTGACCACTATTTTATCTTCCCTTTGATAAACTGTCCTGGAGGTATCTTCTCTCTTCACAGCCTAAACACAGATGTCCACACGTGTTTGGGGGGCTGACGTTTGGCAAAGATTCTTTAGGGTTGGCAGAATGTGACTGCATATATGACCACCTTCTGATGTCCAAAGTTGCACCAGTATCAGATCATGTACTGTTTCAATAATCCCATACAAAAACACACTGCTCCCATCTAGTGCTGAAATAAATGAATGTGACATAGAAGTAATATCCGTGGGAATCTTACAGAACCCCTAAAGACCAATGCAACTACAGAATACTTGTATACTGTAATACTAAATCCCTTAGTAGCCTGAGAAAGAAATTTCGGGAACAAAACGTTTAGGGCAAAAGACACAGCCTTGTTACTCCTGTGATCCATTCAGCATTTTACAAGGGGAAGGCAGCCCATCAATACACAAGGCAATCCATGTGCAAAAAAAACATTAAATAATGTCTCTCAATCCGTTCTTCCTCTTCTTTTCTGTCCTTCTCAGCCTTCTCTCCAGTGCTGCTGCGGGTCTCCGATCCAGCGCTGAATCCTCTGTCCTTGCTGGCACTTCCTGTCCCACAGTGTCTACATGCTGGTGCACGCCGTCCATATACTTACCTTGTGTCTCTCCTCGTCTCCCGGCCGAAAATCCGAACTGCGCATGCGCCCGCCCCAAGATGCTTTGCGGCCGCCCGAGCATTTTTGGATTTTCGGACGGGAGCACGCGGCGAAGACGGGGGTAAGTTTAAACTGCGTTTAAAGCGGTTTAAAAAAAACCAAAAAACTTTTTGCATATATCTACTGCGTGCTAGCAGTAGATATATGCAAAAAAGTGAGGGTTTAGAAACCCTTTAAGGTTAGAACGTCAGTTATTTTCTTCTATTTCCCCAGTGGGGAGATTGTACCTTACCTCACTGGAACAGAGAGTGAGAGAAATGCATATTGCATAATGCTGAAGTTAGCTCCTTATTCGGCCAGCTTTTTATTCAAATGCAGAACTTTTCACACAGATTCTTATTCAGGTTTACTTCTTATCCATAAAAGTGATTATTTACCAAACTACCATCTGCAAAGTTTATACTATATCAATTTTGAAATATGGCAAAATTCCTAGCTTCCTATCTGGCATGTATTTCAGTTGGAAATTCTGAATAAGGAGCCAATCAATTCTTCTGGAAAAACCATCTTGGCTCACCCAAATGTGGCTTGTTTTTATACTACTTGGGCATCCCTCTATATGAAATAGATCAATTTGGCCTTTAGGAAGCTAGGAATTTTGCTCTATTTGAAAATTGATAGAGTATACACTTTTCAGATGGTTGTTTAGTAAATAATCACTTTCATGGATAAGAAGTAAACCTGAATTAGAATAAGAATGGGGAACAAAAGTAGCCTCCCTCCAGAAGGAAGGACAGTGTCAGCATGAATTCGGAGATGATTTGAGGATCTTCGGCTGAGTGATGCACAAATAAGATTCATTTTTGTACATTTAGGTATGGAGGAGCATGTCACTCACTGCCTTTTTCTCCATGGGACAGGACTGGTGCTTGATAAGTGACTCAGTGTGCTGGCACATGGGGGTGGTGAGAGAGCCCTCAGCCTGTTATAAGCAATAAGGTCAGTGACTTAGAGCTCACTTAGGACTTTCGATGATGGAGGCTGCTCTGCATCTATTTTTTGTGTGTCCAAGGCTGGGGGGCGGGCCCTTGACACCCTGGCTCACAGGAAGTGGGTTGGTTGATGCTGGCTGTCATGTAGCCCAGGAAGTGGAGAAGCGCTGCATTGGTTAGCTGATAAGACTGTAAAGGAAAGTCCCGGAGATACGGTTGGTATTGCTACTGGCTGCTGTAGTTTGTTCACATTTCCTAAATTGAGGATTCTATTGTGTTTGTGTGCACTAAAATTAATTTTAATGCATCTTCTACTGAAAATTTGAGTTTGATAAACAATTGCGCTGATATGTGACAAATAATTTGCACCTGCCGTCATTTTTATTCTGTGTTCCCCAGGGCCTCTGCTTCCAGAAAAGCAGCCATTAAAGTTGCGGACAGTAGTCATGTGTGTCTGGAACAACAGCCGCCTC